GGGGCTGATGGCTGTTTTCAGGCTGGCCACAGCCCTTTCAGGGTGGGAGTGCCCTGCTGGGGTGCCTGGCCAGCCTGGGTGGGGGGCTGATGGCTGTTTGCAAGCTGGCCAAGCCTCCCAATGGGGACCCTCACCCCATGGGGGTGTGGCCAGCCTAGGTGAGGGGCAGAGGGCCATTTTCAGGCTGCCCACAGCCCCTTCAGGGTGTGTGGTGGGGTCCCTCCTGGGTGCCTGACCAGTCTGGGTGAGGGTCTGATGGCTGTTTTCAGGCTGGCCACACCCCATTTAAGGTGGGGGGACCCCAATGGGGTGCCTGGCCAGTCTGGGTGAGGGGCTGAGGGCCGTTTTCAGGCTTGCCAAGCCCCCCAACGATGGACGCTCCCAACCTCTCCTTTTTTTCTTTTTATTCTGGGATTTATTTACCTTCTATAATTGAAATTTTGTAGCGTTGAGAGGAGCTCAGAGCCTGTCGCGGCAAGCAGGAAGCTTGGCTTCCTCCATCATTGGGGCAACCAAGCCTCCTGCTTCCTCCAGCTCCATGGCTGCCGGCCGGCATCTTGGTTGGGTTAATTTGCATATAGTTGCTCTGATTGGCTGATGGGCGTGGCTTAAGGGATAACGAAGGTATGGTCAATTTGCATGTTTGTCTTTTATTAGTGTAGATGGGGAAGCTAAGATCCAAAAAGTTTAACAAACTTCCTAAAATCACAATGTTAGGGAGTGGTAGAGTTAGGATTTAGACTCCAGGCTCTTAACTCCCAGTCCAGTGTCCATTCCTATAACAAGCGAGCACTCCTGTCACTAGGAGGGGAATGCACTGGTTTTGACCAAAGGACATCAAATACCATTTGTTCTTTGTCATTATCACTCTTGGGTGTTGCTTAACCATTTTCAGAGGGTTTTCACACACAGTCTCACCTGAGCCTACAAGTAAGCAGAGCAGAGGTTATCTTGGAGAGGTTAAAAGACTTGTCTAAAATGACACAGCCAGTACAAGCGCAGTCTGCAGAAAGCAGCAGGGGTAGCATTAGAATTCAGGTCTCTCTGAATTCCAGTTCAGGGTGTCAGAGGTCATCTCCACTATATACGCCTTGGCACAGCTTTGGTCACACAGGAGAAGTCAGAAATATTTAAAAACAAAAAAACAGTTGCCATATTGAACATTTTGTGCTTTTGCTCAAACTTACAAATGCCA